CGCCACCCTCCTACTGCCAGGCATTTCTCCTCTGATCCTCTACCTGAGCTGGGTGGACCTGCCTGGTCACCTGGGGAGCAGGACCTGCCTCACTTAAAGGGGCCAGACACCCTGTGAGGAGGGGAGGGGGAAAAGCCCCCCTTCCCAGCACAGCTGACTAACCCCCCGGTATCAAGCAGTGGGCACATGTGGGGTTTGGGAGCAGCCAACCCTCGCTGCTCACTCATCACCTGAGCCGTCTCCGGGGCTCACCTGTGCACCCAGACAGCACCTGAGCTGTCTGGAAGGAAGGTCCAGTTCGGTCTGGTCACCGCACACAGAGCAAGGCCCTGGCTCGGGTCACCTGGAGGACTGAGGCGGGATCTGCAGCTGTGCGGCCAGAGCTCACCTAAAGGACCAGCAATTACCCGGCTCCTAAACCTCTGGGGGGGGCGGGGGGAATGAGACACCCTGTTCCACACAGCACAGGTCCCATTGTACCTACCTGGTGCCTTAGATTGTAAATTCTTCCAGCTAGACACCAGCTCTTTGTGCTGGGTGCAGCACCTGGCTCATGACTGGGGCCTTTGGGTGCTACCGTAATACGAGGAACAATGTGAATGAGATGTGCTGGGCGGGTCACGCGTCCTGCCGCTGCTTGGGCATCTGGCTAACGAGAGGCCTGCTGCCTAAAACCTGGCCTTACCTTGGGCACCTGCCTATAATCGAGGGCACAATGTGGGGCAGGGGCAGAATTCTTTGAAGGCAGCCAGACCTGGGAGGAAGAACCCACCTCCCCTTCATTGGTACCCCCAATCCCGACACCCCGAGACGACTGGCAGACACAATCCGGGCGCGCACACTGACACTGCGGGGTTTGTCCAAAGAGCCCCCTTGGGTTTGAGCCCTGGGGAAAAGCAGCCCCTTGTTTCGGTGTCTACGTAGCAGCTGGATTCTGCTGAACATTGGAGTGGGAGCAGCAGGGGGAGGTGTGGAAGAATTAACCCTCTGAAAACCAGACCCATGTGTCGGGGGGTGGGGGGGGAATTGATGCCACCCTGCACTGGCCACATCTGCATCTCAGGCCAACTGCCAGCTGCTCCTCCCAGGGTGGCTTGGGGAGGGGGCCAGCGAGGGGGGGGAGGGGGAAGGGAGCCATCCATTAGAGAAAGTCCAAAGCACAATTAAGACGTGTTTTGGTTTTCATCTCGCTACTCTTCTTTCATCCGCTCTTCCCTTCTTATGGCTCCACTTTCTGCTCTCTCGGAGCAGCTGTGCATGCTGATGAGCCAAGCCACTCGCAAAGAAAGCCCAGTCGCTCCTTTTCAGGTCAGTGGCCTGGACAGGACTTCCGGGTTGAGTTTCTGGTGGCTTTCCCCCATTTGAGGGATTTTTAATGCCATCTCCTTAGTCCCTACGCTGCTTCTTGGGTGGGTCTTTTTAAGTCACTTCCCCTCCCAGCCCGTCTGCCCCGGAACTGGGACTTCCTTGATCTTTTACCTTTATGCTCTATATCCACTTTAAGGCACCTACAATGGGCAACGGGGGGCCTTGGCCTAGCTGAGAATCAGGCCTTTTGTATCTTTCAGTCGTTTTATACAGCTGCCCATCACCGTAGCCTCTGGCTGCCTAAACTAACAGCAATAGCAAAGACCCCAGTGGACTTGCCCCTTGTCCATTGTCCAGTTTGGTGGCTACATTTTAGCTCCACCGAATATTTATCATTTATTATTATTTATAGCGCAATGACATCTACAGGCCCCGCCCAAAACCGAAGCCCCACTGTGCCGGGCACAGTCCAGATTCATACTGAGAGACCGTCCCTGCCCCAAAGAGCTTCCAGTCTAAACAGACTAGAGGCACAGGGGGTGACTCACCCCAGGTCACACAGCGAATCAGCGGTGGAGCTAGAATCCAGGCCCCTGTAACTCCCATCTGTAGTAGGAAGGCTGGATATAATGAGGTGAGGTTGGAGACGCAGGACTCCTGGGTTCCACTCCTGGCTCCACCACTGACAAGCTACATGACCTTCGGCAAGGCATTTCCCCCCCCCCCCGTGCCTCAGTTTCCCCATCTGTAAAATGAGGATGGGAACACCAGGCGGCTTGCGAGGCTAAATTCACTCGTGTCGGTAAAGGGGTTGGATGGGCTGGTATAGCAGTTGGCGAGGAAAAGACACAAGTCGCATGACTTTGCCCATCCTGTGGCCAGCTGGCACCAGTGTATTTGGGCTGGAGTCTCACGCTGTCCCACGGGCCTGACCTTGGCTCGTGACCTCGTCCGAGCTCTCCTGGAGGTGGGGATGGAGAGACGGCCAAGGTGGGCACGTGCGCACACACCCCTCCTGGTTGAAATGACAACACAAGCGGTGAGGCAAAGGGGCCCCGACTTTCCTCCCGGCTCTTAGATGGGCGAGGTGACTCTGTAAACAAGCCTCTGCTGGCTCTATTCTCCGCGGGCGCTCACATGATAGGGGGCATCGGCTCCCTGCACAAGAGCCACGCAGGAGAGGCAGCCTGCCTGAGCGAATGCTTCGGATGCTGCTGCGTCTGGTGCCCTCGCAAGCTGCCACCTCCCTCCCCTCTGCGGTGGATGCCAGTTCGTGCTCTCGGGAGATGGGTCGAGAGACACACTTTGGATCTTAATATGCTAAGACGAGGAAAATCAATTTCAATCTCCACAACGCGGGAGCAGCAGAGCAGAAGGGGAGTGAGCATTTCCCAGTCACTCGGCAACCGCGGAGTCTTGAAGGCAAACTAAATAAATAACTCCATGGCAAAGGGCGAGCAGAAGGCGGACAGAGGCGTGGATCGAGGCCGAGGGCCAGGTGGCGCAGGCAAGCCCCAAACGGGGCCGCGGCGAGAAATGGGCAGTGGGGTGAAGGGGAGATCTGGGGGTTGCCTTCCCCCAATGAAGTGGGTGGAAGTGCTGGGTCTGCGCAGGCTGGTGCAGAGATAAGGGTAGTGAAGCTGTGGAAACCCCGTCATTGGGGTTTTTTTAAGAACAAGTTGGACAAATGCCCACCAGGGATGGTCTGAGTTCCCATGGTCCCTGCCAGCCCCGTCAAACCCCTGCCAAGGTCACTCGAGTCGGGGGTTATCTTCAAAGTGCCAATAGGCGCTCAGCTCTTTCAATGGTCACAGAGCAGGCCTCGCTTCTGCGGGTGTGTGTGCATGGGGAAATGGGTGTGTGCGCGTGTGTGGCCACGTGTGAACACGCATGTTTGTCCACGTGTGTATGCATGTACGTGGGCACATGTGTCTATTCACTCTAGACCTTGCGTCTCTGGCCCTGGTTTTGTGATTCACACACACCTGGGATCCAGGCAGGATATGGGCCCAGCTCCTGTTTCATAAATCCCTTCTGTCACGTCAGTGCCCAAAGGCGCGGCACCTCTCGGGCCGCATTTCCCCCGAAGAGCTGCCTTTTCTGGAATGCAGAAGTTGGATGATAATCAAACTTTGGCCTATGTGAGGCCTACGCCCAGATCTGGGCCTGGCCATGCCACCGTTATTACTATTTGCTCAGCGTGAGGGTATGAAATGCCCGTCTGATCACTCGGGTGCCTCATTCGGACAGATGCGGGAGACATTGTGTCCTGTGGTCAGTTCCTGGGATCTCGCGTGGAAGACAGAATCCCAGAAGGGGAGATTTGAACCATATCCCAACAGACATTTGTTGAAGCAGCGGGGGAGGCGAAGCCACACGATCAGCTTTGTTCAGCCGCAACTGCTTTTCCACACAGGCTTTGTTCGGGGAAAGGCCTGCACAGGGCCCCTGCGACAGGCCTGGCTAACCTTACCTTGGATCTAAGGTGGCTTCCGAATCTGCCAGCCCTGCCTCCCTCGGTAGAGTTCAGCCTCTGTCGATAACCCAGAGCTGCTGATGAGTAGGTCAATTTGGTTTAAGGAGAGGGAGAAAAGGGAGCGGACACCTGGGGACCTTTGATGAATGGCTGTTTCTCAGCTGAGAAGGAGGCGGGTGTGTTGAGACATGCGGTAATGACGCCCCATTATGCTGTATGGGCGCTCACCATTACCCTGTTATTACCCCCGGCAAGTTTGCAAACACAACAGTCATGTCGGCAGCGAGCATCCTCGCTGGCAAGCCCGGCTCTGTGATTATGCCTCAGAAAGTCGGGGGCTTGTTCCTAGCCTGGGTCAAAGCTGGGAGCGGCCTGATTTTATCCCTGCGTTTACAGGTAGAGACAAAAAATAGAACCACGCTCCTGGATTGTTAATTCAGCCACGTGTGTGTGTGTGTGAGTCAGAGAAAGACAGAGGAAGGGGTGTGTGTGAGAGAGAGGGTGTGTGTGTGTGTAACAGGGGAAGGTGTGTGTATGTGTGAGTGTGTGTGTGTGTGTGTGTGTG